GATGGAGAGAGAGGAGAGAGAGAGAGATGGAGGAGAGAGGAGAGGACTGAGACGAGTATGAGAGGGATGACGGAGCGAGAGAGAGAGAGAGAGAGAGAGAGAGAGAGAGAGAGAGAGAGAGAGAGAGAGAGAGAGAGAGAGAGAATGAGAATGAGAGAGAAATTTAAATAAATAGACAGGCATACAGACACATAAACAGTTAAATAGACAGATATATAGAAAAATAAATAGATAGGCAGACAGAGAGATATAAACACGGGCAACACACAAGGAAAAGTTAAAGAAAGAAAAAAAAGAAACAAATAAGGAAGAGAGTATAAAAAACAACAACAAAGAGCGTGATAAAGGAAGAAGAAGAAGAAGAAAATAAATGTCGATAGAAATGCTAGACAAAACAAAACAAATACTGCAATATTCAGAGGAAGAAAAGGAAACGGGGAACATAAATAAAAGAGAGAAATGGTGATACGTAAAAATAAAGAAGGGGAATGGAAGAGGACGCGATAAACAAAAATAAATCCTATAAACCTTAAAAAATAGACCCACAAAAGAGAAAAGAGAAAAAAATTAGGAATAATAAAAGAAAAGAGAAACAAAAAAAGAAAGACAAAGTAAAAAGAATGAGAAGAAGAAGAAGAAGAAGAGAGACAAATCAGGAAACACAGAAAATACAAACAAATAAAGACGAACGAAATAAGAGAGAAAGAAACAAGAAAACATGCGATAAAAACATTACATCGCATAAGTATAAGAATAACCGATAAACTGTCCCGAAGAACAAAGGGATGCCAGAAAGGGAGAGCGAGAGAGAGAGAGAGTATGAGAGAGAGAGAAAGGGAGAGAGAGAGAGATAGAGAAAAAGAGTATGAGAGAGAGAAAAGGGAGAGAGAGAGAGATAGAGAAAAGAGTATGAGAGAGAGAAAAGGGAGAGAGAGAGAGATAGAGAAAAAGAGTATGAGAGAGAGAAAAGGGAGAGAGAGAGAGATAGAGAAAAAGAGTATGAGAGAGAGAAAGGGAGAGAGAGATAGAGAAAAAGAGTATGAGAGAGAGAAAAGGGAGAGAGAGAGAGATAGAGAAAAAGAGTATGAGAGAGAGAAAAGGGAGAGAGAGAGAGAGATAGAGAAAAAGAGTATGAGAGAGAGAAAAGGGGAGAGAGACAGAGAGAGGGAGAGAGAAAAGAAAGCTTATTTTTTTCTATACTTCCTTACCCCCCCCCCCCCTCTCACTTGGACTTGAAACTCCTTCCGGGAGACCCGAAGGCCGGAAAAAATCCCCGAGGTGATTGGCCCCGTCCGGCTCTCCTTAGGAGGAGTCCCCCTCCCCCCCTCCCCTGCTCGCACACCTGCCCCACTCCCTCCCACCTTTTCCCCCCCTCGCTGCTGCTCCAGCCACCCCCCCTGCCCGCGACTGCTCCCCCTCCCCCTGCCTCTATCACCGCTCCCCTTGCCCCCTCCCCCCTCGTTTCCCCGAGACCGGGATCTGCCCACGAGGCGCGCGGAGGCTGGGCAGGGAAGGAGGGACGCCGGCGAGGGAACCCACGGGACTGGACAAAACCTCTGCCACGTTGTCTGTCTGCATGGGAACGGCGAATTTATTTGTGACCAAACTGTATCATTGAGGGAGGTATTGCAGGTATTGCAGAACCGGTTGAATTCACCCGGCATCATCCACCCGAGAGGAAGCTCCGAAGAGAAGAGGAAGAAGAAGAATGACTAAACCTTCCCAGTAATCAACTAATCACCATCATAAAAAACTTGCGAGCGGATCTCTCCAGGAGGAATTCATTACTCACTTCCTCAGCACTTCCTCGGAGAACCTCGCGAGCAATAGAGACGCTGTAGTCACGGTGCTGCAACTTCCAGATAATATTCAAGCCACGAGAAGCAGCATCGCCTCTCTAGAGGCCAACGCAATTGCCTGCGCAGCCAACGCAGAACGTATCGACAGGGAGTGGTGTGGCAAAACCAACAGCCACTTAGCTGCCAAGGCGTGGTGGACGTCGGGCGAACCACGGCCACTCAGTCCTGCCGCACTCAGTCCTCTCCTGAGACTCCAGCAGACCAAGATCAATCAAAAGAGGCAAAAGCTTACAGCCATACACTCTCACTCTCGCAATCTTCCAACACATCTACGAAGCCAAAACACTGCCACAGTCTACACAACTACAGGAGCGTTGCTCACGTGACGCATCTGTTCAGCCACAACACAAATTCAAATGTAATTCAAATTCAAATTCAAACACTTTATTCCATTAATTACAATGGGTATTCCATTTATATACATGTTGTTTACATTATGTAATAGGATGTTATATACATAGACATTATACAATACTTGTTGAACAATATTAGACAGAACATTAGTATCACAGATGACTGAAATGTCGTACTTGGCTTGATGTTCAAACGCCTTATGTCATTGATATTTCAGTAGATGTTCTTTCACTTTTGTTTTAAATGTCTTTTGGTTGGAGATATTTCTAATATTTTCAGGTAGTTGGTTCCAGATCACCAGTCCTCGGATTTGCATATTTCTTGCCCCGGTTTCTGTATTCGCTCTTTTGATATATAAGGAGTTATTTTGCCTTGTAAGGATACCTGTTATGTTACCTGTTATTTGTATGGGTAATAGCCAATTTGGGTAGTTTCCTTGTATTATTTTATAGATCAGTATACACGTGTCATATTTGCATTTCTCTTGTACTTTTAGCCATTTTAGTTTGTTTATATGTGGTGTGATGTGGTCATATTTTTTAACATTTCCCATTGCCACTCTTGCCGCGAAGTTCTGTAGTTTCGGTGTCCTTTGTATTTGTGTTTTGTTTGTGGAGCCCCAGATGTTTAGACAGTATTTAAGGATACTAAGTGCTAGCTAGTGTTTGTATAACAGCAATTCTTGTTTCTGTGGGTATTTTATTTTTTATGTGATTTAAGTATATCAGTGTGCCCATTACTTTCCTGTAGATGTGGTCAATGTGTGTTACTGTTGTGTCCGGTTTGATGTAGTAACCTTGGAAATCTATAACTATATCTGTGGGTATTTTTGCTATGTTTTAACGGCTGCCTATGAAAATACATTGTGTTTTTTTGTGGATTTAGCTTCAGGCCATTCATATCGAAGTATTGTTTTGCTTCTGTTAGGGTCTGTTTGGTCTTTTCTATCAATTCATTTAGATTGTTTACAGAGGCAGCGTGAAGGAATTGAGAGTCGTCGGCATACTGAACAAGAAGACAATTTTTTGCAATTAATGATAAATCATTTATGAATATGATGAATAAGATTGGGCCAAGGATGGAGCCTTGAGGAACACCGAACGAAACTGATTGCTTTGATGATACTTTTTCATGGATTTTGACTGATTGAGTTCTCGCGGACAGGTAACTTTTGAACCAAAAATTATCAATTTTGTGGTTTGTTAGTTTGTTTACAAGTAATTCATGGCTGACACTGTCAGAGGCCTTCGATAGATCACATAGAGTGAGCAAATTTATCTGGTTGTTGTCTATATTATTATAAATTTCGTTTGTGACTTTTAGTAATGCCGTTTCGGTTGATAATTTATTCCTAAAACCGTGTTGCGTGTTAGATATAAGGTTATTCGCTTCTAAAAATGTTGTTAATTGGTTTGCAACTATTTTCTCGAGAACTTTAGGTATTACTGGCAGTATAGTGATGGGTCGATAATGATTAATTTCGTCTCTGTCACCGGATTTGAAAATAGGAGTTATGATGCCGTGTTTCCAAAGTGATGGATAAACTCCAGTGACTATAGATGTATTAATGATTACTGTCAGATAGTAAGCAATTGCTGGTAAACTATCATTTATGGACGGATGTGCAATGCCATCTGCTCCCACAGAAATCGTCTTTCTTAAGTGTTTTATTGCTAGGATAGTTGTTTTTACTCATTGGTTGCGGTCTGAAAAAGTTTGTTGTAGTATTCATTTCGTTTATGTTGTGTTGATATGTGGGGGCGGTTGTCTGTTCAAAAGTGCGTCTGCCTATTTCTGCAAAGAAGTTATTAAAATGTTCTATATTATTTATGGAATTTTGGGAAGTGTCTGTGTTTTGTTTCTTCTTAGGCACTAATGTATTTACTAGTTTCCACGTCCCGGCAGAATCGCTTCTGCATTCATTGAACTTGTTTTTAAAATAATTGGTTTTCGCCCCGTGGAGGAGTGTTTTCACATTTTTCTTCTTTTGTTTGTATTCAGCCCGAAGGGTAGTGTCAAATCTGTTTATCTTGAGAGCTTTATGAGTATTATTTCTATCATGTATGGCCCTCTTAATGTTGTCATTTATCCAGGGGGCTGGAGAACGCCTTACTGTTTTTGTTTTAAAAGGAGCGCAGGCATCGATGCCGTTCTTTATCACGTTTGTAAGAATATTAACTTGTTTATCAACGTCATTAGTTGTTAAGATCTCTGACAGTGACGAGTCGTTGGCTGTAATAAATTGGCAGAGTAACTGAGGATCGTAATGCGTTAGGTCGCG